GGTGTCGTTCTGCTTTGAGCGATAGCCTGATGTGTGTCTGCCTGGTCAGAGGCTGGGATTTATCCCTGAGGCGATCCTCATTGTCCCACTTTCACTCTTTCCTTTTCTCATAAGCCCTTCTCTTTTGAACACGCTCTTAGGGTACATGTCCTTACTAAGGCCTTTCTTATTTTATTTGAGAGAGAGCACTGTGTCTTGGCCTCAACTCACCCAGCTTGAGGATATTTCATAATAACATTAAAGTCAATGTATGCATGTGCACGCCGCTTTTGTTTTCATGGTGTGCATACAGCCCAGGACATACTATTGCAAAAACAGACTTAAAGAAGCCCTTAAAATAAGATTATACATTATTGATCATTGCGCTTGTCCGTGTTAAGGGACTCGATGTGAATGCATATTGTCATATGAAGGATATGTGACAGATTTTAAATCTTTCATAATATTAATGTGCGTTTTTCTGTCATGTTTTTGTGGATTAGGCCTTGAGGGGATTTTCTTTCATGGAACCTCTTTCATGTCCCCCTTTATGTGGCACATCTGTCTCGACTGCCTTGTTTGTCTGCGTCTCTGTCTGATATGAGCAGCATTGTTGCATCGCAGTAGCTTTGGGGCTAACATCTGATGTCTCCAGAAGGTTAATGTTTGGGAAAAACAGGACTCAAAAGGCTGCTTTTATGACTCTTGAGCACAGTTACAGTTTAAGGGGTTTACTGTTTCATATTCAGTTTCCGTCTGGTCCACGGTGATTTAGTTGAACATCGCTCAGGTTATAGCGTGATTGTTGGTCTTAAACCAAGTAGTTGTGTGTGTGTGTGTGCTGAAAGCTCATACATTTTATGGTTATGTACTGAGTGGGTCGTGTCTCTGTGTGGCTTTCAGGATAAGTGTGTGCATATGAAAAAGGGTTGGTGTTAAAGGGTAGATCAGCTCAGCTTGCATGTGTGGTTTTCGTGCCACAGTGCCTATGCCTGTGTTTGTGTGTGTCAGAGGATGAGCAGAGTAGTTTGTATCATATTAGGTCAGGGGATTGTTTGTCTGATCCATTGAGGAGCGATTAGTGTGGACACTGAGCCGACCCTCTTCCTGCAGACAATAAGGGGTAGGATTGCCCTCGATTCGCCACGTCGAGACTCCTGTGACCTCGCTGGTGCTGCCCCCCACTCCACCACCTATTAGGGTCCGCTGACGGATTGTCATGGACTTCATTGCTGACAGCACAGGCCTGTCCTTTATAGTGTGTCGTCTTTGCTTCCTTGCCGTGACTTATTGGTCATTGAAGCTGTGTGGAAATCTTACCTCTTACTTCTTTGTCTCCGCATTTCAAAATCTTCATTGTGTGGGCGTGCATTTACATTTTTTTCATTCTGTTTTTAATTTTACTATCCACATAACTTGACCTGGAGTTGTTGGACTAAAAGGGGTTGGAGTTGTCAAAATTAATTTGTAGGTTGACCGACCAATCTTTAAATAAGGGACTCATAAATAAACACACTGGCTACTTTGCACGCGGGCATATTGTGTTCAAGCATTAGCTGGATCCTGGGGTTCCAGTCTGTGGGGAGGTGACAGGTTGGGGGGGCAGTGTGGAGGCGTTGTTCTGCCTTCTCCTCTAATCCCTGCATTTAGTTTCTATTCCCAGTGACTTCTTAATCTTCCCCTAATAGGATTTGCCAAGCTTTTGTTTTATTTTTTTATTACTAGAATGAGTGTGACTTGCTTGACTTGTCTTGACAAAAGTTAGGTTTACCTGGGGGGTTGGGATGATTTGGCGGTCTGTTGAGTCAGAGATTTGAGGCGACAGTAGTATTTTAAATTTTGATGTCAGTCAGTTGATTTCACATAGCATGAATAGCAAATGTATTTACACGTGAAGACACCTCTATCTGTATCATTTACGTTATTTATTAATGGATGAGTTGCTGTGTATTGTAGAAATAGCTTTGCATGCTTTCCCTGGTCTTATCCCTCTGATTATGCATCCTGGTGGCCCAGTGGATCTAAATTGCTTACAAAAAATTGCCAGTGTAAATAGCCATAGACCTTCTAAATCTGCTCTCCTTTTCCACCCTTGTTTTTTTTCTTTCTGTCTCTGTGCTTTAACCAATACATGCTAAATAATCATCATATCATCATTAAAAATAAAGAAACATAAAGCCTCTTCATGTTGTTAAATCCAACATTTAAGTTCCCCCTGATATACAGATAATTACTCTGACTCAATTTCTCTATTCATTAAGTTGTTGCACAAAATAGCTTGCTCAGTGCTGCAAAAATATGAATGACTATTTTTTTCTTTGAGCATTTTATATCGGAAGTTCTGAATCTTTTTGAACCTCTTTTTAAAAACCTCCCTCTCTGAAACTCTGCCAAATGATGCTGTTTTGGTGTCTGTGGCGCCTTTTTAAGCTTCATGATGCAAGGATTATGTTTGGTCTCAACTTGCCTGTACACCTTGATAACGGTATTAAAAACAAGTATTGGTTCTCACAGCTGTCTGATATCGATCTTAAGGTTTGATTTAGAGGCTGCATTGACATATCCGATCCAAGTGTTGCTCTAGCACACCTCAAGGAAAAGAACAGAGAGTGACTACATGAATACCTCATTAGTGTGCAATGTGTTGCTTAGCTGGCCTACTTAATCTCTCCAGAGAACCACCTCATTTGTTGCCTGGAATCTCTTCACGCCATCCTCTAAGTGTAGTGCAAAAGAAATCTAACGTGAACTGAACTAATCCCCATCATGCCAGACATTTCAGTTATACCATATTACCAACATCTAAAGACTGCAGTTTCCATGATTAAGAAGATAATAAGAACCATTTGAGAGATACCTTCTCCAACATTTTTTTTTTTTTACCACTTTCTCATCGATCCTCTCCATAGTCAGCCACAGCTACTAGACACAACAAAAGATAAACCAAAAAGGTATTAGCAAACTGTCTACTCAACCTCGTTCATAAATCCCTTCAGTGCTTTTCAACAAATGGCCCCAGTTAGTTAATGGGTCTGTCTGGCGGGGGATTTAATCCTCATGTAGATCCCCCATTGGGTGTCTGTCTTATACTGAGACAGGATCTGTCTGTACATTTGCAGTTATCGTCCATTTTTATAAACAAACGGGGAAAACATTATGATCCGATTCATCAAAAAGTGTGCTTTTCACTCAAGCGCTTGTCATATTGATACCGTCATCAATATGCACAGCTGCGCTCTGACGAAGAGTCGGGGTTCATACCCAGATCCTGCAGATACATGTCTGATGTGTCCTTAGGCAGCACACTCAAACTGTTGCTCATGCTTTGGCGGTGTGTGAGTGTTTAAAAATGGGATTAGTTGATGGACACTTTACATAGCGTCTCCTGCCATCAGTGTGTTAGTAGGAAGCTGTGTGAATAGGCGTGACCTGTGGTGTAAAAGCACTTTGAGTAGTCAGAATACTAAAAAAGCTCTACACAACCTCAAGTCCATTTACCATTGCAATGTATCATCTTGTCTTTTCTAAGCTGTCTTCTACGCATTCATGCTGTTCGACTTTAAGGCCGAACCCAGCGCAGGATCAGCCACTTAGGCCATCTACACACATTTAAGCATGATGACTGATGAGTGTAAAACATTTCTGGTAAAAAAAAAATATTTGTACTGTAACATTTTGAAGTCATTTGAAAACACACACTACCCACAATGTAATAAAAAAAAAAAGGACCAGATGTATCTTCTGGGTCACGTTAGATCCGTCTGTAAAAAACAGTAACTCTGCCAGCCGGAGGAAGCGAGTAGGATTGACCTCCTTGTTTATGAGGTATTGATTGCTGCCATATGAGGAAGCCTTGTTATATAACTGCCTCACATGCAGCCTATAACTGGATGCTGAGTTAGTACAAATAGAGGGTTGCTGCATGGCTTACAGTAAGTGTAAGGACAGGGAATGAGAATATACTGTATTCTGTGGAAGTTTGACCAGGAGAAAGGCTGTAGAGCACGTTTTGATGAGCTGGTTTCCATACTGTCCCTCAAGCATGATGTGCAAAGGGATGCAAATGTTAACCTCAAGCTTTTAATGTTTTGAGGGAAGATGTTTCCTTGCTTTCCCTCCCAAAGTTTTTTTTTTTACTGGATAGGCTTCAAAGCGACTGCTAGATGATACCTCAACATAATATTATTGAGACATTTGTATAGTCTTGGATAAGGCTACAATACATGAAAACAGTTTTATTTTCTCTATTTTTGTATTCCAATTGACAGGAAGCGTTTTGAAACTAGAATAACCATTTAATGTTACATCCTGTTAAGTTAGCATATCTAGATTTCTGTTTCAAACATAGTTCAGTTGAAAATGTCACCTGGGAATACTATCATCCGTTGTAAAACATTGCTGCAGTCTTACAGTATTTTTTAACATTCAGCTACAATTCTGTTTTTGCTTTTCAGCTCTAATGCGGTTAGAGTTTTAACTGTTGTGTGTGTGCAGTGGCTTTGCACCCTAGGTTTATCATATTGGCATTATGAGTGTGTCTCTTGTTTCTAGGCTTTGCATGTGTACAAGTCAAGATCTAATCGGTATAGATGAGTTTTTTTTAAGACTGAAATGAGATTACTGGCGTTGCCCTGTCTTACAGGAGCAGTCATATTCAGTTATTGCTTCTTTAACTGAACAACTGGGAAGTCACTGAACTTATCTCAAAGTTTTTTTTTTTATCTCATTACACACTCTGACAGTTGTACTGTCCCTGCTGCTATTTGCATGACTGTCATTTGATTAAATAAAACTTGAGCTGTGAGTCTGTGAGGAGAGTGTGGCTGATGGATGTTACAGTCCATCATCTGACTGTTGATGAAATAGAAAGAGACGCTCATCTCCTAAACATCTTACCATTGTAGCCTTACAAACATTCAAGGGTCGGTCTCGTTGAAGCCTGTGGATTCACACCATGTCCTCTTATCTCCTCTGCATGCACTCACTCTAAATGCTCTTGTGTCTCTGTGTCCATATTCTAGGTTGAATGTGTTTTCCTCCAGCCTTGACACCATGAGCACCATCTCACCGACAGACTTTGACAACTTGGAGATCCAGCAGCAGTACAATGACATCAACAACCGCTGGGACCTGGCAGCAGAGACTGACTGGGATAATGAGAACAGTTCAGCACGCCTCTTTGAGCGCTCACGCATCAAAGCTCTAGCAGGTAGGCATCACTCCACAGATGTACATGCTTGCATTGTGTCAACCTGCACTTATGTGTTCTGTGTTTATGAGATGAAAATTGATGAAAACATTTGTCCTGTTTTAAAATGATACCTTTTATCAAATTTTGAAAAGTTTGTTGCAGAATAGATCTGCACATATTAAGCTGGATAGCACACACAAATCTAAAATAATATTTAAATATTATTGTCAATGTTGGGGATCACTTAAATAGTGCGTAGTAATCCTTCTAACAGAGTTTTGGTGAGCCAAGAAATGAAAATAGTAAGGAAGCTTATTATTACACCATTAGCTTGAATTGATGGACACATTGCACTGCAGGGATCCATTAAGTCCCGCTGAGCTGAGCAGTATAATGTGAATGATGATTTGATAATTCTAACATCACTGTCAAAATACATCCCCCACCATGTCAAACATTCAGTACTATTACTTTTTTATTTTGGTCTCTATCATACAAATACTGTCAGTGCTTACTACTGGAAAAGCTGCTGAATTTCTGTTTGTGTGCCTGGATCATTTTTTTGAATTGGAAATGGTTTAATTTGTTCTCAGTAGAGATAGGACTGTGGATGGAAATCAAAGAGAGAGTGGGGAATGAGCTATGGTCGTCTGCTATGATGCAGATGAGACTACACTTTTTTTTTTTCATTCAGCATCAGAGAGAAAATAGTGTTCTCTACATCACTCTGCAATTATTTAAAGATCATAAGCAACAACAGTTAAAATCACAGATTACATTAAGAGATAAAATCACAGGTGAACAGCCAGTTGCACAAAGCCTCTGTTGGTGGAGGTACAAACTTCATTCTCTCCTGTCCCAATAGGCTCAACTCTTCCCTTTATAGGGCAAGACAGAAATACTTCCAAAATGAGGACAAAGGCAGGCGGCTGTAGAGTCAATTCACCAAAGAGCAGTAAGCTGTGATGGAATGAGGTGAGGAGACTAGGCATTGATCTAGATTGGATACAATTTGTCTGTGATTTTTATCAACGCTGAAACGCTGAAACCAACCATCTAAAATATTCACAATGCTCCATCAAGTCTTTACACATCAACATGTTTAAAAAAAAACAAAAAAAAAAAAAATTCCATGAAGAAATCAAATTAATCCAGATGGACTTTATTTGAATTACATCCAAACTGATTACATTTAGTGATCTTAGGGAAACTTATGAAGAAGCATGTCTTAATACAATGCTTATATCTGTCTTCAGCATAGTTTCCTACGGTTTACAGCCATCCTTCCAACCTGTGGGAGTGCCTTTCCGTCAGTCCATCCTGTGTGTTTGTGTTGTTTGGTGCTTGTGTGTTTATTGAAGTAAGGCTGTTTGTTCTTGGCAACACATCCTAAAGATAAAGTATCCTTTTTTCCTTTTTGATTGTAAAAAAAAAAAACAGGTTGCAGTATCACTTTAAACCCAGCAGGGGGGAGCAACAGGCAGACAGGAACCAGGACACATAACTGCATACAGAAATTCACACACACTGGCAGTGAAAAACCCCAATGCTCTTTTAATCTTTGTGCACAGCTGTAGTCAAAGTACCTCTCACTGATAAACCTCAATTTCACTTACAAATGCAGCACGACTCATTGCCCCTTGCCAACATAAAACACACTTAGGGCACTGCCAGTGTTCTGCATTTAAATATTTTGTTTCTTCCCAGCATATAATTATGGTGGTGTGTGTGTGCTTCTGTGAATACCTGTGATACCATCTCTGTTTGACAAGTATGGGCTTGATGTGCACATTCTTTGACATGCTGGAGCAGTTATTCCGCCCCCCAGGCACAACTCCTGCCCACCTTTTACAACTAATCCCCCACATGTCAAGACCTTCTGCATCCTGTAAGCTGCTGCCTGCTTACTTACCCTTGTCTCTCACTGAAACCTGGTGCTTTTCTCTGTGTAATACGATCACCTCGTTTCCTGCTTCACACCCCTTTACACTCTTATGATCTACTGCAATCATTCTGCTTTCAGTGTCGCAGCAGTGGCTGCCACTTGTTTCACCATAGAAAACTTCACCTAAGTAAAGATAATAGCAATTTGCTTGAATAAGCCTGTATTTACTCCCTTATACTGTGTGGGTGGGTAGCATGGCAAGCTGTGCAAATTAGCCTTTTTAAAGCAAATGGCCTGCTTCACATTCAAACAGTAACATGGTTTTTCTTGTATGAACTTCCCAGTATGAAAGAGCAACGTTTTTGCAGCATCCACCTGCTTTTGAATGTTTTTTCCCCAATATATTCAAATCGTCATCTGTTATCAAGAAATAATGTCAGACTATGCCTTCAATGTGTCATGTGTTTAAGTGTATAATGAATTCAGAGAAAACACAGAAACCATAAAAAAAAACTAGAAAATCAGATAAGTCAATCTCCCTTTTGTCCACTTTTATTATACTGAGACTGACTGAGAGATTGTGAGACTCATGAGAATTCAACCCTACTTGTCCCAGAGGGATTCCCCCTTCATATATTTACTGTCAGTGTTTGGAGTGCAGTCAGGCCTTCAGTCCTCCCTTAGGTTTGTAGAAGGGCCTGTGCTGTAGGATGGAGAAAATGTACATTATCAGCAATAGATCTCTCCTTTTCTCCCTCTGGTAGTGCTCACTCCCCCGACAGCTTCTATCTTTTTCTCTCTTCCTCTCCTCTGTGTTCACTCAGCACACCAGACCATCATTAATTATCATTAAGCCCTGTTTGCTCTGAGCAGGAGTTTCTCCCACATCTCCCTCTGGCAGACTTTCTCACAGTTTGTTGTTGTGTTTCACAAGATTCAGAAAATAACTGTTAACCCTATCTGCTTTGTTTGTTTCGTAATGTATCTAAATGACTGATGGCTTTTATGGGGAGTTAACCAACTCCACATAATAAATGAAGATACACAAGACAAGACATACAAATCTGCCTTCACATCTGCCTCTCTTGTAATTGGAATTGTAATGTTTGATATGTGCCAAATGGGATTTCAAATGGCCATTACTGAGGTTGACCAGTTCTCTGCTTTTTTATCTCTCCCTGCATGTGACCAACGCATATCATCTGTTCCTCAGAAGGAAGTGTGTTCTCTTTGGATCTCATTAGTCCAGTCACCCCCCCCCCCCCCCCATAAAAACCCAGTAGCAGAAAGCCTGGAGCATTTTTGTCTGCTAATGAGACCCATCCAGATGCTCCCAGCTCATCATGACAAATAGATCAAAACAACCCGACCAGACCCTTTTTACCGCTGCCCCCTGACCTCACCAAAAAAAACAGTCTGCTTGTAAGACCTTTGGCCTTAATCCATACTGTGTTTACCGTCTTGTGTAATAATTGCACACCCGGGCATTTACTGCAAGTGTAACTTCACTGCTGCATTTCTTTGACATGTTAATAAGTTGCTGCTGGAAGAAAGCGTAAACCCTGCCTGTAATTAATTACCCATAGAAAACTTCCAAAGTAAACACATTTTTCTTTTAATGCATAGTCTGCTGATGTTTCTTAGTGTGCATTAATTATTTACTATTGTAATAATAATTACTTTATTATTGTGTAGATGATGTAGCACAGCCTTGAAAGTCATTTGCACGTAAAGTTGCTTCATAAACAGAGGATCTTAATAGCTGTTAATAATGGTTCTGATATTATTTATTTTTAGTGACAGAGACAAATATTTCTTTAAGTCCCAAAACAATTTCAAATGTTCATTTTCCTAGAGTGCACATTTTTATATGAATGTGGATAAATGAAATGAGCATTTTTAACATTAAAGAATGTAAAACAAATGTGAAGAATTTTGAGCTGGTTATTGAACAGACTGAAATGAATATGGATGCCTCCAAGTAACCTACAAAGACAAACAAGACCACAAGTGAAGGGATTGATAATTTGTATGTTGTCATTTTTTAATGCCTTCAACCGCTTCCGTTGGTTAGGTGTCAAAGTGTTGCACTACAAACAGCCTCATTGACCTTTCCCACAGCAATGATTCATAGCAAGAGATACATTGAATACAGCAGAAGGAGATTTTTCATCAGAAAACATTGTTTACAAATGTAAAGGACAAATTCAGCAATGAGATAGACGTATTGCTTTATCCATGAGAGGCACTGAAATCAGTGCAAACTGAAAGCTCCTCACAGGAGCCTTTAAGAGACTTTTCTTTTTATTCAGTGGTGCTAGAAATGATTTAATATTTCCGTTCCTAATCTAGTCAGACATAATAGTGCTTTTCTATAATTGTTTTAATTTAGGTAATGACTCTCATCCACCCCCACCTTTACCAACCATCTGCCTGTTAAACAGACACACACACAAGTTCACCGTTTCAAATCTTGTTGAGGCAGGAGGGAGCTTGTTATGTTTCTAAGACTGACTCAACAACTTCCTTCCTGTCTCAACGCCTTATAGAGAGGCAGACTCTGTGTGCAGAAAAATAAATATAGAGAGCAGGTGTTATCTCAGAGAGTGAAAGAAATGAGATGAAACCACACGGCGAGAAAACAGGATAAGAGGACGCAATCTGATGGGGAGTGTCATGATATACCTTCTTGGCAGGCCACACCCCGCTGCTCAGTGGAATTAAGGTGGAGTTGAATAATCCGCCTCTAGCTACACTGACTAAAGAACTCTAATGGTTTAGTCCACCTCTGCACCTCGTTCCTCCTCCCATCCCTCCACCGTGTTCCTCCTTTGTGCTCCTCCCTCAAACACACCTTATGCAAATGCATCTATGTTCAGACGGCACAGCAGGCTTTGTTTACACAGCTATCCGACCACAGCCGGTTAGCCTCCTCTGCTGCGCTCTGCTCCAGCAAATGCGTGTTCAGAGTTGGAAGGGAAGGCATAGCCAGTATTGTGTTGCTATAACCACAAGGGAGTGCAACCAAAAGCTTTTACTTTGTGCTGTGGTAAGATTTTCACAGGAGGAGGTGAAAGAGGAGAACATTTTGTTCTTATGTTTTGTTTGAAATAATTTTTTTTTTGTTTTGGAAAAAAAAACCTCCACCCGGGCTTTCTCTGCTGTGTTTTCATTGGACGAGGTGGGACATACAGTGAATGAAGAAAAGAGTAGGCGCCAACACTACACCACTGAGGCAATCTAGGAGAGGAGGATAGACCAAGGCTTTTTGGATTTAACTTTTTTTTCTCTCGTTCTGTTGGGTCGGACATTTTTTTTTTTTTTTTTTTTTGTTGTTGTGGGAACTGTTGCTTTTGCTGTGCTATGCAGGAGATCTCCCATTCATTCTGTATCTGAGAGGAATATTTAGGAGAGATCCAAAGCAAAGGCCATGGAGTGGGACCACAGGGACAGAGAGCCCTGCTTGTCCCCAGCAGCATTTGTTAATCAGGTGCAATACTCCAACATCTTGGAAGGAAGGTTTAAACAGCTGCAAGGTAAGAGTCAAAGTTCCACGTCGATTTAGTAGAAAGGAGACATTTCTGTCAGATAAAAGAGAGGAGAAAACATTTCTCTAATGGTTTGTTTAGATAAGCTATTTGAATATATTTGAATAAACAGTTGTCTCGACGTCAAGGATGACTGATTGTTCTTCTGCCTCCTGAAACGAAGACTTTCAGGAGGTATTGTTAATACTTTCCTCTAGTGAGCGATGAAACCTTCCCTAACACAAATGTGCTTTAAAAAATAAATTCTGTCATGAGCTGGAGCTCTACTGGTTGTCCTACAGAATATGTTTAGTTGTAAATAAGTCTCCAAATAGCTCAGCATTTTCCTGGCTTAAGTGACTACCTGTTAGAGACTGAAGACACCCCCCACCTCCTCCCAATCCGGTACTATTTCAGAGCTTAATGTGGAGAGAGTCGAGGAGAGCCATAGTAGACACTCAGTAGGCTTCAGCTCAGCTCTAAAGCAGGCCAGCAGTCTGGCACCTGATCACTGGGCCACCTGTCCTTCTTATCTCATTACAATGCACAGCTCTGTCTCTGGCTAAAGCCTGTAAGGTCTGTGACGCGCTGCAAAGTGAAATCACAGAGGACCCTGGTTTAACATGCCGCCGTGGAAAAGATGGAATAGAAACTCAAGTTTAAATCCCTGTGTTTCACCCAAAACTTCAATGATTAACTTAAAGGGAACTTCCTCAACTTCCAGTACCTCTTATCGAAAATCGTTTTTAACTTGCATGTTTTTAATACAGTAAAAAAAGTTCAAGGATGTAGGATGAATTTTACAGCCAGTTTATTTTGACAGCTCTTGTTTGAACAACTAGACGTCTTGCATTATGAAACAGCCCGTCCTTATGAGCTATAGTCCCCTTGGTAACAGGCCACATGATAAGGTATTTGCATTACCTGAGTTCTCGTGCTTTATTGTAAGAAACTGGCATGTCAGTCACCGATGTGCATGAGGATTGCAGTGTTTTGCGAGCATCCGGTCCCTCCCTGGTTTTTTTGTCTGGAATAGAGAGTTGTCTTGAGTGTACTTGTGGGGCAAGTCTACCCTCTCTGCATGTTTGACATTCCATTAGTCGACAGACAATTTTCACCTCCTGTATTATGTTTAATCTTCATTGCCACAGAGGAAAAGACACATTTGCTCAAGATGTGTGCATGTACAGTATGTCACATCTGTGAAGTGATGCCTAAGTAATAAAGTCTCCTGACAGCCCCAATACTCCTTACTTGAGATAATAATCACTTAAGAGAGTGCATCTGTTTCTTCTTCTTCTTCTTTAAGACTCACATCATTGTCACGATCAATCATGCAGCCTCATGCAAAAAGAACTTCGGTCAACGGTTCATGCAATCTTGTCTTTCTAACTCGTCAGGCGAGGTAACCTTTACCACACTAAAATTTTGGGGGGCAGATATCTGTCACCTAAATTGTGCTGACAGGTCTTAAAACCACTTCCTTACAACACGAGGATTGTGAAATAAGCTGTAGAAGTATGAATATTAGCAAGACATATTGAATTCAACATACAGATGTACAGGGTTACATGTCTCTTTATTTGGTTTGGTTATTTCTGAGCATGGTTAGACTCTTGGTCGAGTTTACTGTTAATGAACTCCTGCACACACATACTCAGACACAAAAAAACACAGTTGGCAACACCTACTTGTATTTCCAGTTTGTCTGCCCTTTGAAACTCATTCCTTGTGTCATTCCCTCCCTCCCTGTGCTATATGATGATAGCAGCAGGACTGACAGATCAATACATGTGCATATAAATAGTTTGGTGTCATTACCTGCACTTCAGACACATGGAATCAATTTAAAAGTTGCGCTTGCTTTAATTTGAAATTGTTGTCATCTTTTTTGTCTCAAGGTTGGTGCTTTCCAGCGTTGCAAAAAGCAATACAGTTCACTTCCATGTAAAATTGAAACATCTTCACTGAGGGATATTTGTAGAAATGGAATTTGAAAAGGGGGGAAAAACAGAATTGTAGGTCCTCTTCCAGCCATGAAAGCGCTGTACACATCTTTTGTTACGTGACTCATTGGTAAATGATATCTAACTGGTAAAGAATGAACCTCGGTAACTAAATAACTACTGCCAAGGGGGACAGGTTTAATGAAACACTGGCCCACATGGGTAGATTGAAGTGAGAGAGAAAAAGGCGTTATCTGTGTGCAATGGAACAGGCTCTATTGGCAGATGGAGGGACAGTTGCTGCCTTTTTAATAGCTTTTTTTTTTTTTTTTTTTGGCTCACCTCCACATCATACCAATGAAATCATTCATGACCAATTAAGGCAGCATATACATTATTGCAAAGCCTGGAATAACTGTCTGCGCATTATATTATGCAATCATTCTGTCACAGGGAAGAAAAAAAAAACGCTATGGACTTCAAATCGCTTTATACTTCACATTTTGCTGTAGTATTGATTCTGGCACCAGGTACTACAGTGTATCAGTTTGGACTTAACAGATCCTCATCCAAGGGTCACTCACCGGGCCCCTTACACCCTCTGAGGCAACCACAGCTGCCTTCAGTTCGGACTGGCACTCTGCAGGCATTAGCAGTATGACTGTTCAAATAGGACGACAAAGCTAGAAGGCTTTTTTGTTTGCCTTCTAGGCCTTAAAACACACAAACAGGAAAAAAAAAAAAGAAAAGTGAAAAGCTGTCCAAATAGAGTCTGCAACTTAAAATTCTCTTTTTTTATACGGAGTTGATGGATTTCTAGCTGCAATGCTTAGATTTGTAATGTCTCTCCACCTCGACAGTCTCGTCTCCCTCATGTATTCTGATATCTTCGCTTGTTAAATAAAACGTCATCTGTTTTTTCTGCTCAGTGAATGCTAAGCCATCTTGGTCAGAAGTATTTTTCTGATCTAATAATTTATTTAAGGATATGAATTGAGACTGGGAGAGATAAATGTCACATTTTGGTCAGGTTTCAAGACCAGTAGCACACTATGAATTGATCGTTGAAACTTAATATTTCTAACACTCTTAGTGAAAGCTCGGCCTCCTGTGGCCTGCAGCTGTAACTCAGAGTCACATTACCTTAGTGCGGAGGGTTCACCAAACATATACACACACACTCTCACACACACACTCAAAATGCCTTTTTTGTTTGTTCGGTTTTTACCAATATTGACGCTGTCCTGCGAGAAGGGCTAACAACAAAGTGCAGTTTTGGAGGCTTTAGGATAATTATAGTGTTGTTGACATTTCACACCCTGTTTGTGTGCAGATGTTGTGGCTGTTAGGTGCCTGCTTCCGGGCTCCATTCTCATGGGATTGGCCTTGGCCATTCCTCCCCCCGTTATCAGCCTCAGCTGCAGGTGGTGCAGAGGGCCATGACCTGAAGGGCATGTGCAGTGCCTCTTCACTGCCATGCAGAAAGGAGAAGAAGAGGGTATCGTAAGAGAGTTCCCTGTCTTAGTCACACCGTCAGGTTTTGTCATTGAATTTTACAAACCTGTAAGAGTTGGGCAATACACAGTGTCTTGCTATACTTGAGGCCTCAAACTGTTGAAAGTGTAAAAATAACTCGTGCCACATGTGGCAAGGCGTCAGTTTCACCACAGGCCTACTTTCAAAGTCGTACGCGTAAAAGGAGGGCAGTTCCGCTTCTCTGCTTCTGTTGGGAGGGAAGCTTGTGCATCTATATGAGCAGGTTTGCTGACTTTTTAATGGGGCTGAGTCGGTGCTAAACAATATCATTGGACAGATGATATGCACAAACGCCAATTAGAACTTATCAGAGGGTTGTGCCAAGAGCAGATCTTCCAGTTTCCAAATCGGTTGACTTCATAATACTTCTATGAAAATGAAGCAAGTGTCAACTCTGGAATTCAGTAATTGATAAATCATTGAAATAATTAAAAAAAATGAATTAAAAAACAAAACAAAACAAAAACTCTGTTTGGCCCTTTTGTTGCCAGTCTTCAAATTGTCTTGCATGAAAGCCTTTTCGGTCCCCAAGGGAAAAAACAAATGGTATGAGTATGTTCTTTTAGTCATGTGCAGGCAGTTGGAGAAGGAACAGTTTAGCTTTAAGTACATCGTGTATCTTTTTTTTTTTTCCTCCTGTTGCTGAAACATATTACCAAATACCAACTCCTCCTCCAACCACTCTGACATGGTTTGTCCTCATTTTTTGCGTTGCTCATGGACCCCATGATGTGTCACACCAGCCATATAGCTGACTCTCTGCTCAAAACCACCCGCTGATGTCAATAGAGAAATGTAATCACCAGCCACAACGCTTACAAGCAGCTTTTGACTGTCTGAGTTTAGTCACTACTGTACTTGTTGAATACCTCATAAAGACAAATAACAAACTGAAACTCAAGACGTCAAGGTATTCTTTTCATGATAGCCTTGACTCTGCTCCGTAATCTCAAACAGCTAGACTGTTAGATGATGATGGTGCAGAGTCTGATGCTTACTTTTTAGTTCCAGTTTGGAAGATTCATTTGAGCTAAAGTCAGATTGTGGCACTACTACACTCAAAATCAAGAGTAAATCTTTCTGTCATGCTTTAGGAAGGGAAGACCTTTTTTGTGCATTCTGTATTGTTTACAGAATGTTTATTGTTGTTAACACATTTTCGGTTCAGTTTTTTGTAAGCCAAAAGCAACTTCATTTGTATGAATGCAGTAATAAAGTCTAGATGTCTTTTTATTTCAGCAAATAAGATTGAATTGAAATATACAGTACCTACCTTTTATCCAGACTTGCCTAAATCTAATTGGAATCGTAATTTCAAACCATAACAAAAATTATACATTCAAGTTAAGTCTACAGTATGTTATATTATTATATTACGTTTTTGTTAAAAATCAATCAAACTCTGTTTATGTAGCTCCTTTCAGACAAATCCAATTGCAGTTCATACATAGTGCTTCATGAAGAAACTGAATAGTGATTGACAAAAGATGTATGTTAAAAAAAAAGGATTAAGAAACTAAAATAACC